CGCGGGGAGCGGGCGGCCGGGCCGGGGAAGCCCCTTCGAGCGAGCGCGCCGCGGCTCCGGGCCCCAGGGTTACGGGAGCCGAAGCCTAGGACCCGCACCTGCGAGGGACCCGGTGAGGGAGGAAGGGAAGCAGGACTCCCCTCCGACTTCCCCGCTGCCCTCGATTGTTTGCCGAGGAATGGCTCGCGTGCGCCCCTCCCCCGAAGATCATTGTATTTCAGCGAGAAGCTCGGCTGCAGAGCTATTCAAATGTTCTCCGGAACCCGAGCATCCCAATTCAAAAGGTTACAACTTGGAGGTGCTGTTTGCAGTCAGCAGGCCTCTAGGGTTTTCAACGCTGGGTCTAAGAAAGGTCGTGCCACAGGGTGCGCCGAGCACTTTAAATAATACCAATAACAACAATGAGCTAACATTGATTGAGCTCCCAATAATGAGCTAACATTGATTGAGACTTTCTGCAGTGCCAGTTACTATGCTAAGCACCTGGCGGGCATGATCTTACGGGATATGCACAAACCCCCGAATCAATGGGCCTTCTCATTGCCTCATTTTTGCTTCTGAGTAAAATGAGAAACAGGACAATAACATCACCTGTCCAAACCCACACAAATAGGGATCACGGGCCAGGGGCCAGGGCCAACATACTTTGTAAACAGAAAAGCACTGATAATCACAGTGAGGATCAGCACCCACGATGCTCATCTACCTGAGGTTTCCTACCACCTGGCCACCACCCTGACCCATAGTGCTCTTTTCCCGTGGTGTGATGCCTCTCACTTGAAAGTGACACTTGGAAGAAATAAATGCCACATCATTTCTAGGACTTACAAAGAGACTTCTTGGCTTCAAGGTCACATCATTCAAACACTATTACTCTCACAAAGCTGGACTCCAGCTACTGCCGGCACTCCCACCTCTCAGAGCCCACTTGACCTTCACCACCACCGCAATCCCCGACTTCCCTCCTACTTTCCAAATCTCGCACTAGTGTATCGGATTAGCAGAACCTAATTCGCATCTAGAAATCCAGGTTCAAGGGAGAATGGTAAATATCTTTTTAGTTTTTTAGCTCTCCCACCTTTCCAAATAGGAGGAAAACCACATATCCACCACAGTCCACCCCCTAGCTAATCAATACTATAGACACCCTGTGCACAAAATAAACTCACTAAAGCCACAACAGCTTGCTCCCGCCCAAACAATGCTGCTATCCCTCCTACAAACTGAAAAGCACTCCTTAAAACAGGAGACCAAAAGTTTCGTTGGTCATTGTAGCCATCTCTAGGGGACAGTCATTGCTCTTCTAGTTCCGACATCACCCCACCTCAATATCCTACAACCTAAAGAAAAACATTATAAAGCTAACCTCTATCAGCCTTTATTTGATATGTATAAAATATAGAAAGAAGATTGAAAAAATTTGTATGTACACACACACACACACACACACACAGTTACTACAACCCTTATTTCTGTAACTGGTCTTCAGACCATAATTGGTGTTTATAATCTTCTTTCTTCTACTACCCTCTCTGTCCTCCCTTTGTTCTCCAGCCAAGAACTCAGGTGGTCAGAACTCTTTATCTTGTGAGTGACCCAAACCTTTCTTCTCCCCAACCTGCCGCCCGCCCCCGCCCCCCGCCTGCCGAGTCTTAATCCTCAGTGGTCCTGCCTAGCGTGGCTATAGTCGGAGGTGTCCAGAGGATCCCTTGCATTGCAGATAGAGTCCTTCCCAATCTCATTGTTTAACGGCAACAGTTTTCCACTTGATAACCAACAGTATCAACCATCAAGCCAGTTCAGTAGACCCATGGTTTGCCTGTTGATTCAGTGGCATAAACAACCCTAAATGGCCAGATGGCAATCTCAACTTGCAATTCAATAGTACCAATGTCGTGGCCTTGGTAGAAGCACTCTTTCCTTGGGAACCAGCAGAGCTCAAAGCTGTGGGGATGGAAAGAAACACCTAGGCAGCAAATCAGGTGTGATAGTAGAGAAGCTGCCCCCACTTTCACCTCCCGATTCCTGAAACAAGGGATTCTGGCTATGAAGAAACGACACCATAGAGCACCAGCTCAAAGTTATTTCCCTCACCCTCTAAGACAGAACATCCCCCTTTCAGCATATTTTCCCCCAACCGCAGTCTCATTCTGCCACCAGATAGTCGGCTGGTCACCCCAGGGAATGATACCTTATTACTGGGGGCTGTCACTCCTGTGGGCAGGTGGAGTACATAGCAGTGGCCATGGCCGTGACCATACCAACCGATGCCAGGCCCCGGGAGCCTCACCACTTAGTTGCGGATTCCCTTAAGCTTGCTCCCACCTCTGTACAAAAAACAAACCCTCCTCCTCTCCTCAGTTCAATCCATTGAGTCTACCATTCGCTTCCGGCTGAGACTCTGACCAACATACCCAGTCATGGACAACTCGCTATGAGGTTACATGCGTGAGTCAAGGAAAAGGTTGCCATACAGTAGTAGGGCCCCCAGAGATGGGAGCCACTTGCTCGAGCAACTTTCTTGTACCTTCCAGACCTGCTTGAGTCTGGTCTCAAATACTCCACTTGCACTGGATGATCAGTTAGCACCCAATTTATCAGGGACAGCTAAGATTACATGGTTCCTTGGTGCTCCATGGCGAGGCATTCAGACTTTACCGCAGCTGTTGATCCAAAGGAAAATACTTCTTTTGTGGAAGAATGTATTGTTTGCTTCAAAACACCAGTGGTCCACTGAATGTTTCTCCTGTTAGAACTGGCCAGAGGCTCCATGTAGCCTCTGCCAGCGTGTCAAAGGCTCTAGTTATATTGGATCTACGTCATCATAAAGGTCAAGTGGCCTGGACCTGCTACAGAGTCTTTCCTTGCCCTCCGTGCTGCTAAACACATGCAGCCTCACAGATTACTTGTTCAATGCATTGGTGTAGAACAGTTTTGCACCTTTTGTTTTCTTAAGTAAATGCTACCCCCAACATGGGACTCGCATTCACGACCCTGTTTTCTTAAGTAAATGCTACCCCCAACATGGGACTCGCATTCACGACCCTGAGATCAAGAGTCAGGCTCTACCGACTGAGCTGGCCAGGCACCCCAGGTGTGGAACAATGAAATGTAGTATATGTTGCCTACAGAATCCAAACAACCGCACCAAATGCTGTGTCTCTTTTTGAGTGGTAGGTAGCATGAGGTGCAGCAACCTGTTGAATACCCAACATGGTCCAGCGCATCTCAAAATGTTACTGAGGGCTAGGCTTTTGAGTTTTCATGAGCTTTATCTCCCATCCTCTGGCATACATGTTTATTAATAAAGTACCTCTTGATCCACCAGGTCCAGTAAGCATAATGTCTTCAATATAATGGACCAGCCCGATGTTCACCATGATCGTTGCAACAATCGAGTTCCATTCACCCTGGATTACGGCAGGGAGCCAGAGGAGAGACATAGCCCTGAGGCAAGGCACTAAAGCCGTACTTCTGTTCCCACCAGATGAAGGCAAGCTGCTTCCGACACAGTCTCTGCTGATTGCAACAGAGAAAAGAGCATTTGTCAGGCAAATAGCCACTTACCAGGTACCAGGGGCTGTGTTGCTTTGCTCTAGAAAAGCAACATCATCTGGAATAGCAGCTTCAATTCAAGTCACAACCTGATTAATTTTACAATTACCACTACTCATCTCCAGGCTAACCATGTCGATTAAATAAGGGTGTGATATGGACAATCATTCTTGCATCTTTCAGGGAGCACTGTTCTCTCTTCCAGACGAATCAAAATTGCTTCTACAAGGTTATTCCCCCTAAATTTCTAGGGAGAGATGACCTGTTTGTATTGCAACTTTTATTTTGGTTTCATCAAGTCCCTTCCTAGCTTCTTTGCACTCCAGGCTGGGGAGAGGAGATCCATTTGAATAACAAGTGGTTTTCAGCACCTGGATTCCGTAGCGCGGCTTCCCCATTTATTATTATTTTAAAATAGGTTTGGCTTAGCCTTTCATTAAGTACTATAAATCTTAGAACTAGAAGGATTTGCGAACATAAATATCTACTATTAAGAGTTTCTACTTTAGGGGCACCTGGGTGGCTCAGTCGTTAAGTGTCTGCCTTAGGCTCAGGTCATGATCCCAGGGTCCTGGGATGGAGCCCCGCATCACATCGGGCTCCCTGCTCAGCAGAGGAAGTCTGCTTCTCCCTCCCCCACTCCCCCTTCTTGTGTTCCCTCTCTCGCTGTCTCTCTCTCTCTCTGTTAAATAAATAAAATCTTAAAAAAGAAGAGTTTCTATTTTAGGGGTGCCTGGGTGGCTCAGTGGGTGAAGCATCTGCCTTTGGCTCAGGTCATGATCCCAGGGTCCTGGGATCCAGCCCCACGCACGTTGTCGGGCTCCCTGCTCAGCGGGGAGCCTGCTTCTCCCTCTGCCTACTGCTTGCTCTCTCTCTGACAAATAAAAAAATTTAAATAAATAAATAAATATTTTAAAAAAGAGTTTTTATTTTAATTATGTTATGATGGGCAAAATGACTGTGAATCTTATTCTCTTGTGAAAAGAGAGAAAATTTGAGGGATGCCTGTGTGGCGCAGTCGTTTGGGTGTTTGCCTTCTGCTCAGGTCATGATTCCAGGGTCTGGGGATTGAGTCCCACATTGGGCTCCCTGCTCAGCAGGGAGTCTGTTTCTCCCTCTGCCTGCCACTCCCCCTGCTTGTGTGCTCTCTCTCTGACAAATAAATAAACAAAATCTTAAAAGAAAAGAAGAAGAAAATTTGAAAAGAAAATGCCTCTCTGATTTTTGGATCAGGGACAGCCACGAGGGGGGATGAC